CAAGCGGGACTGGCCTAGGGCAATTTTTAGAGGGGTTTTAATCATATTTTAATTCGACTATATTTAAATATTTCTTTTTAATTAATTTTAATTCTGTAATTGTTTTGGTGTATTTTTAATCGATTGTCAGCCGCCCTGAGTCCGCAAGGAGAAGGGCGGGATATAAATTTAATAAATAAATAAATAAAATAAATAAATAGAAGGCCAGATCCTGAAGTTGAAACTCAAGTACTTTGGCTACCTAATGAGAAGGAATGACTCACTGGAGAAGAGCCTAATGCTGAGAAAGATTGATGGCAGAGAATGAGGTGGCTGGATGGAGTCACTGAAGCAGTGGGTGTGAGCTTAAATGGACTCCAGAAGATGGTAGAGGACAGGAAGATTTGGAGGAATGTTGTCCATGGGGTTGCAATGGGTCGGACACGACTTCACAACTAACAACAACAACAACAACTTGATGTTGTACACCCAGTATCAAATCTAAGATATGAAGACTGGTGGTGATGGGATGCATAGTTGTTTTCACAACATGCTGAATCATAAACTAACATCAGATTAGATTTATACAGCTGATTGGTCATAGAGACATTCTGCTAAAATCTTTAACCATCCAGAACCTTAAAGGGCACCATCAGCACTTTGATTTTAGCCAGGGAATGGATGAGAAACCAGATTGTTTGATATCACACCTTGCTTGTTTTATCCCTACTTCTCCAAGGAACAGCTGTGGCTTTTGTCTGACTGACAGTACAGGACTAATTAATAGGATAAAAAAAATCACTGAGGTGTAAGGGACACTTCGGTCAACAAATCTGATCTACAATCCTGCTTTAAAATCCAAATTAAAGCATTTCAAATTGAGTGTATTCCATCACATCCTTGGTAATTAGTTCTGCTGTTGATCTGGGGAATTAGATCTTCCTGTTAAAAACTTTTTCCCAACATTCAGCTGGAATCTGCTTTCCTATAACTTAAGACCCCTATTCCTCATGACTCTCCAAAGAAAACAGGTGAATGAGTAAAATGAGTTTCAGAACACAGCAGTTATTTTGGGTAGGAGACTAAAATGGTTACAATTGGAAACAAAAGTCATGACAAAGATTGCTATTGCAACTTTTTTTTTTTTTTGCATTTAGAGAGATCATCAAAGTGAGTCCCTCTGTGCTGGTCTTCAGGGGCTATTCAATAAGTTGGGCTTTTGGTCCACTTGAATTATCTGAGCCTCAGCAATTATTTGATGGTGGGTGGATGTGTGTGTGTTAAAAACAATCCTAACAACACGAACACAGTACTATATTGGAGTCCCTTTTTATTGAACAGCTAATTAAAAATGTTAATTCCCTCACTAAGCCAGGGTATATTTAAGCTAATGCTTATTGAATAAACACAGCTGGAGCCACACAATATAGTAACGTAGCATGAATTTATAGATCTCAATGGCTGATCCACAAGAGGTGCTAAGCCAAATGCATTCTTTGGTCAGGGTTTAGTCACTGCAAGCCCGTTCAATGATACAATTACATAATATATAGTGATATATATATGTAATTATATATAGAGAAAAGCCCAACAGTATTGTCCTAAAAAACGAATTCACACAGGCTCGTTAAAAAACTTGAGTTTCCATCAGCTTTTCTCTCTCGGGATAGGAAGATTAAACGTGAAATCTTCTCCTCCTCCTTTACCTAATTCAGCTACTGTACTCAGCCGATAGCACAGCCACTTCTATGAGCCCCCACTTTTGTGCTCCATAAGAGATGATTAGTGCAGCATTTCCTCTCGCGCAGGGATTGTTGGGAAGTGTAGTGTTTTGGATACTCTTGGCTGCTTCTCAGGAGCTCCCGGGGACTACATTTCCCGTTTACATGAGCCGGAGAACAACGGAGCCTTCTCTCTAACAGCGCTGGCTACGGCCTTGCACTAAGTGAGAAAGAGAGAGACTTGGGGGAGGGGCGGCGTAGGCCCAAGGCCGGCTGAGGCCCGGAGCTGGCGGAGGAACGGCAGGTATACCAGAGGCGAATTGGCGAGGCTATGGACCCCGCCGAGGCTGTGGTACAAGAGAAAGCGCTGAAATTCATGGTAAGAAGGAAAAGAGTGGGGAGGGTATTGAAAGGAGAAGGGGGTTGGCAATGGTTGTTGCTGGTAATGGTAGTAGGAAGCCGAGAAGGATGGGGATTTATTATGGAGAAGGAGAGATTTATATAGGTTAACTTACAACTCATAAGTTATCTTTTAAATGCGTTTTGGTACTCCGGGGTGGGGGGAAACATAGGAAATTGAGATTCTTACGGCGTAGTGAGAAAATAAAGGAAAGCAAGCAAGTCATAGGCTTTCCCTTCGGATTCCCCCCCCTCCTTTTCCATAGATGATCCTCGGTTGTAGCAAGCTTGATATGGAAAGAAGTTCCCTAATTTGGGCTTTGTTTCTGTTTAGTTTTTTTTTTTTTATGGATTTTATAGAAATCTCGACCGAAGGCCTGGCTTTTATAATGAAGGAAGCCCAGAAGGCCAAGTTTTGGATCAGAACATTGCGAGGCTGGGAGTACATGTTGGAAGATGTGATGGGATTTAGGAAAAATGAAAATGCTTGTTATTTTTTGAGGGGCTTGACGTAGATTAGCACCTGAACCACACGGGTTAAGAAGCATTTTGTACAAATATGTCTTTTTAAAAAGGTGGTTAGCAAGCCTAACTCAAGTATAGAAGAATTTAGTACTCTTTGGGTTCAAAGAGGTTTGCAATTTACAAAGTAGATCATGATATGGAGGTTTTTTTAAATCAGTAAAATACTCAGTTCTGTTATAAATATTGAATGATAGAGTTTTGGATTAGTTGTATTGCACTGGAAAAAGATTCTATTTGTAAGAGTTTTTTTTTAAGGCTAGATATGTGGTTGCTAAATGAAACCAAGGAATATAATCTCTACTCTGATGTATATCTTCTATGATGAGCATTCTTTGTTGCCTTTCCTTATTGCATCTTGGGGTCATCTGACAGCAAAAGCTATGAGGATATTCTTCTCTAGGTACACACAAATTGGTGAGTTTATGCAGAAACTACTACATTTCCACTCCCATTCCTCTGAAACCATATGATCCACCTCCAGTCTTGTCATGTATTGTAAGTAGAATCCGCTCTGAATAGAAATTGTCTCTAAAGCAATATAGACTATATCTGATCCACCTTTCTTCCCTGTTGCCCTAAAGGCTTTCATCCTGCTTTCATTGATATGCCAAGAAGTCTGTATTTCCCAGGCTTCTCCTTTGGACCAGTCATTATCTCACAATCCAACTCAACTCACAAAGTTGTTGTGTAAAAAATAGGAGGAGGAAGGTGTGTTGGATATGTTCATTGTCTTGAGTAATTTGTAAAAATAATAAAGGGATACAAATAAATGTATCCAATAACTGCACTGGTACAGCCAATTGCTGAGTTCAGAAAGGTAGCCCACCCAAACCAAAATGCTTATCAGTGGTCCATTTGCCTGAAACATAAGACTCCTGAATTTATTGACGCCCCTCAATAATGTTCATTAACGGAAAAAAGATACAAATGTAAAGGCTGATTGTAAGTTCAAGGATCTGTCTGCCCCATCAAATCAGTTATGTATATTTGTATGGCAAAGCAATAGACATTTTTTTAAATTTCTTGGGAGCCTATCAACATTGCTAGTGACATGTATTTTTCCTATAAAGTTTGCAGGTGTTGCTTGTTTCCTAGTTTTCATATTCTACAATTTAAAGCTGATCTCTCTCAAAATTTGGGAGAAACAAACTGTAAGGCAGTGGAATTATGATGGGCAGTGTGTACAGTCAGAAAGCTGATCCTTGCAGACATTGGAAGAATGTGTATGTTCTCATATTGAAAAGAGGGGGAGAGATAAGCCTCAATTTCAGAAAGTGTAAAGTAGCTGAATGAATTTACAGTATGTTAAGCTATTTTGTAGCTGTAGGGTGTGATTGGTGAAAGCTGCCAGGGTATATGTATTCTATATTCTGCTGCCTAGTCCAGTTAATACCTTTGAAGAAGCAAATAATAGATTCCAACCAAATTGTCTTTTGTTACTCATGTTTGAGTATAATCTGTATATATTGAAAGGGCATCATATGAGTTTGGTAGTCTAGGTTATACTGCCTTTATTGTGATATATTTGTGTTAATTTGAACATATGGTTTATGTTTTTTCACACCTGTGGCTATTGTGTATATCATCTGGACAAACAGACTAATGAGGGAAAAGATATTAGATACTTCTGCCCTTCATAAGAAACATTCCTGATTTACTTTCTTTTTTGGAATACCATTTTCCTTATAGAGTTGGTGTATTTTAAAAAACACTTGTCTGTATTTATCTTCATAAAGCACATTGAAAAAATGGCTTTTTCTGTGGAAAGAAGGACCTCCAAATATTTTTTTGTAATTTAAAGTAAAGCTAGAATCTTTTGGAAGATTGCAGATTCCATAATTAGTATATCTTTGGTTTTTGAAATGTTCTTAAAGAGTCCTATATTTCATCATTATTTGTATTGGCTATACTTGATCAGCACAATACTAATTAAAAGTTAATTTACCTAACAGTTAAAATCATTTAACAAGCAGCTACTCTATCCTTTCCTCTTTTGGTCCTTGGAAGAGCACCAGGTTAAATCAATCTCTGTTAAACCCTGGATTACCATTATGGTTTTACTTGGGAACTTTTCCTGACAAGTCTTCACCAATTTATGGCGTTGGATTTAAAGATTTAGGGTATTTCTTGTTTTCTGATTCTGTTAATCATTATTAGTAAAAGTACTAGTCATTCAGCCTCCAGAAAAGCAATCAACAAATGCTTAACTGAAAGGCAAGATTAGCAAATATGAACTGAAAGAACATTCTCAGATTTCGTTCCCTGGTTTTTCCTTTGAAAAACTTTCCAAGTAGTAGCTGGAAGCATGATCTTTGTCTTTTCCACCTCTTGTACAGTATTCTGATGCTCTTGTTTAAATGGGGTGTGAATTGTTCCTTACTTTGATAGAATAATTTTGCCCCTGTTGGATGGCTATGAACACAGGCTGGTGAGTGGGGATCTTCTGACCACTATGATCCTCCCTTTCCAGGTTACTGGTATTTGTGATTATTGGGGAAGAAATGTTTTCCTCTGGAGGGACAGCAAATCACTTTGACTACTTTGCCTAATTATACAGTGCTTGTTTCCCCCCCATATTTTCCCATATTGCTTGGGATACTTGAAAATCAGGAATGTGGAAAAGAGCAGATGGAGACAGCAGTAAACTCACAAGCATCTTCAGTCAGCCAGTAGGGACTTGAGTTTTCCTCCTATCCCTCATTCTCTATGCTGCTTCTGGGCATTTTCACAGAGGTTTCCTTGCATTTTAGAAACTGGTAGTTGATCTTTTTTGCATGTGTGTGAATGCATATGCTTGTGTATAGATCATTTCAACTTCTCTCTAAACTGCAAACTGTAGAGGTCATAATATCTTCCTCTAAGAAGAGGACAGATGTGGTGAATATTCCATTCATGAAGAAAACTTTCATTCAGAATTGGGAAGGAGAAAGTAAGAAAGCTAAAAGAAAGGTACGAAACTATTCTTGAACAGATTTAGATAAAAGATAGCCAACCATCCTTGCTGTTATGTCTTCAAAAGAAACATAACTGCTGGCTTTTTTGTCAGGTATTTGTATTGCGGGTTGATTTTGAGTTGCATCAAAATGTTTTTCAGTAGAGAATTCCTATTGTCATTGCAGTGACAAATTAAGTACTTTTCTTTTGATTCCAGGTATGTTATGTAAGCATACGGATTGTTGGTCAAGAAAGCTACCCTGTGCTATTCTGGTTCCTTGATCTTGCAGATTGTATGTAATATATGAGCGCCACAAGCAATAATAAAAATACTGCATTAACAATAATACAGTATTAAATCGTTTCAGTTTGGGCTATTTTTAAACAAATAGTTTCTTGAATAATTACTATTGAGTATACATATTCTGTATATACCTGTTTTAATTAGGGTATAATTAAATATAAAATACTAAATAATAATAGCTTATAAGTAAAGGATATTCTGAGGATGTAGCCTGGGCAGTTCCAGCTTTTCTACAATAAAATCTATATTATTTAGCATAGGGCAATAAAAACTATGAAATGACTTGAAAAGATTTTCAGAGCTAATGCAAATGTAAGGAAAATGTTGTACATGGTTTGTATTTTCTGTAACTTAACATGAATTGGCTTTTGGATTTTTTGGTAACCTTTGAGAAAAGATGTTGCCCTGGACAAAGTCCCTATCCCATCTTCTTCATACTGAATTATTTTCAAGGAGTCCGTGCATTAACTTCTATATTTAGGCAAGAAAAAACAAATGTACAGGTATAATATAGGTGGTACCTTGCTCAATAGTAGCAACTGTGAAAGGGATCTTGGAGTCCTAGTGGACAATCACTTAAATATGAGCCAGCAGTGTGCTGCAGCTGCCAAAAAAGCCAACAGAGTGCTAGGCTGCATTAACAGAAGGATAGAATCAAGATCACGTGAAGTGTTAATATCACTTTATAATGCCTTGGTAAGGCTGCACTTGGAATACTGCATCCAGTTTTGGTCACAACTTTAATGTAAAAAAGATGTTGGGACTCTAGAACAGGGGTGTCAAACTGCCGGCCAGTGGGCCGGACGTGTCGCAAGGAAACCGCGCCTACCTCATTGCCGGCAATGGTGAAAAAGTTCCGACACATCACATGATGTCGCGAGTTTGACATGTCTGCTCTAGAAAGAGTACAGAGAAGAGCAACAAAGATGATTAGGGGACTGGAGGCTAAAACATATAAGGAACAGTTGCTGGAATTGGGTATGTCTGGTCTAATGAGAAGGACGAGGGGTGACATGATAGCAGTGTTCCAATATCTCAGGGGTTGCCACAAAGTAGAGGGAGTCAAGCTATTCTCTAAAGCACCTGAAGGCAGGACAAGAAGCAATGGATGGAAACTAACCAAAGAGAGAAACAGCCTAGAACTAAGGAGAAATTTCCTGACAATTAGAACAATTAATCAGTGGAACAACCTGCCTCCAGAAGCCGTGAATGCTCCA